TCCTTTCCTTTTCCGCTACCGGCTTCTGGAGTGCTGTGAACCGGCGTCCTCACCTGTGTAACTGCTACACCACATATGCCTCGGAAGGACTACCCGCGTGCAAGGTGGCTGTGAGCCACCAGGGAGACCTGGTAGCTTGCTAAATAATTTAAATAAGGTGCATGGCACCCTTGGAGTGGGGCTACACAAATAAGTTACAAGGAACCAAAATGTGGGGGCTTGGTCAGCTTTGCCATCTAGCTCGGTTTAACATGAGCCACCTAAGAGATGGGAGGGGGGAGCTCTCAACCTTCAAGAAGGAAGAGCCAGGCGTGGGGAGCCCATCCCACAGAGCGAGGATTCCAGAGCTGGACCCCCTCCATCCAGGAGACAGAGAGCCGTCACAAAGTTCGCTGACCCACAGAGCTACAGCCAGTGCCTTCAGGCTGAGGCTCACTGGCAGAGTGGCGCGCCTTTGGGGCATTTATCAGCGGTGCTTTCCAAGAACTTGGTGACACAGCCTCGCACAGGGAAGAGGGCCTTGTGGCCTGGAGCCTGAGAACCACAGAGAGCCCATGCCTGTGGGCATGGATGAGAAGAGGTTGCCTGGACCACAAAACTGACTCTTTCTGATCCTGAATTATGACCTGTAGCTTCCCTAATCAACCTCATCATGGTGAGGATTGTCTAAATTCTGTGTGGCCATTGCAACAGATTATCGAGCCTGGCAGAGAAGTAGAGACTACGGTGGGAGAGACAAGGGGTGCCGGAGTTGGTGAAAACATTAGGTGTTTGACCTCATAGGAGTGAGCCTCGGGTTGAGGTTGATGGTGATTCTATTATGTGCAAATAAGTCTTATCAACTAAAAATAAAGCGTTCTTTTGGTGACTCCGAGTACATACTGAAATATCAATGTAAGTCACATTCCACTTAAAAGGAGTGCATGTGTGTGCGTTCCATGAACTATCTCAGAGGCTGATCTGTCATTTGGGTGATGCACAGAGACCATGGGACAGAGTCCATGGCAGCCCTGTCACGGAGGGGCTTCTTTTCAGAATTTAAAGGTACGTTTCATTTCAAGGCAACCAGTCAGCAAGCCCCACCTCTCCAATCTAATCAGACTTTCAGTCAGCCTCATCAAAATCTTGCCAGAAAGCACCCAGGGTGAGGGGTTCTCTGTCAAAGAACTCACCTGGCACTGCCAATGATTTGCCAGGCAAGCTGGGTAAATGATTTAATGGCTCTTTCACATTTCTTTAACTGGCCAATAGTAAGAGTCAACATGCTGAATGGAAAACCACTCGGAGTCAAGAGACTGGGCCTCTCGCCACCACCTTTGCTACTGGCTCACTGAATGAACACGGCCACCACACATCTCCCCCAAAACCAAAGGCCAGACCCGCTGCCGGGGGGTCCAGTGTGACTCAAAGGGATGCTGGACAGGGTTTCCGAGACTGCACATCTTCACAGGAGCAGACAGCCTCACCTTTCTCCCATCGGTGGTCTGAACCATCGACCTTTCCAGTTAGCCGCTCAAGGCCTAACCCGCAGTGCCAGCAGGGCTCAGCAGGGCCCCACCGCCCCCTTCATACCAGGTAGGCATTGCACATGCGCAGGCTCTATGAGCTGAATGCCTTCTGTAGGGTACTGCATTGGTTTGCCAATCGCAAAGTCAGCAATTCGAAACCACCAGCCGCTCCGTGGTGGTGCTTTCTACTCCCGATAGGGGCAGTTCTACCCAGTTCTACGCGGTCACTACTCCCGATAGGGGCAGTTCTACCCAGTTCTACGCGGTCATTATGAGTTGGAGTCGATTCGACAGCAGAGCTTTACGTTTGACCCTGCCAAAGCAAGGCCCCTTAATTAAGTCCATGAAACACAACAACATGGCATCCAGATGAAGAATAGATAGAAGAAATATGGCACTAAAGTTGGGAAGAGTAAAAAAAAAAAGGGAAACTTTTACCACCACCAAATCACTTACAAGGCTAAGTGGCACAATATGTTAAACGCACAGACTTCTAAATCATAAAGCTCCTAGTTCAAGGCGGGGTTCTGCAGGCGGAGGAGGCAGGACACACTGCCAGGAGGAGGGATGCGGCTCAGCATCTGTGGGCTCCCCTAGTTCGCGGGGAGAAGGAATGCAAAGAGCATGGGTTCTCTTCCCACCAATCTTTTGAAGCTCCCCCACCCCCCCACACGTATTCAGAGAGCTTGGTTTTTTATGTCACGTGCCAGGCGATAGCAGATGCCCCGGCACACGGTCCAGTGTCCCTTTGCGTCCGCATTCAGGACTCCTCCTGGAGCGAAGACAGTTCCACGTCCTTCATGCCAGAGGCCCAGGCGCCCCTAACCACAGCCAGAAGGCGAGGCTGCTGTTCTGGCTCGGGGTTGACGGCAAGCCAATGCGCCAGGCCTTCGAGGAGGACAGAAGGATGCAAAACCGAACAACAGGAACAACATGAAGCTTCCAGACGCCCTCCTTGATGGCATTTCCCTCAGGAACGCAGCTCAGTGTCCACAACAAGCAGCACGGCGGTTTCTGTTCTGTTTGATCCTAAGTAAGACCACCGCCCTACTCCAGAGTAATAAGAGCATGCTCCGTCCAGCTTCTGCATTTATAACCATACATGTACAAGGCAGTACTTCGTGAATGTATGACAGACTTTTCAAAGAGTGGTTGAAGCCAAATAAGCTTTTCTGAGAATAATTCTCATGAACATAACAAGCACCACTGAATATAATTTTATTCTAAATTGGTCCAGTTTATGTACCATATCTTAAACTTATTGTTATATCAGAGGCAGGCTGGAACAACGCCGCACGATGGCGAAGGTTCAGCAGGATTGGTGGAATAACTGAATGAGCAAAAGTCTGGCTTTATTTGGAGTTTACTTCAGTAACCAGATGAGCACATGGCGAAAATCATCTTACTCCTCCTGAATCCCTAGCCTTATTTTGATTGCTGCAACAACATAATAAGATCTAGTATTCTAGCACCTCAGGGTAACAGACAGATCAGATTCCCCTGCAAAGAAAGAAGGAAGAGCCCCTGACTGGCTGCAAATGGTTAGTAGTACTTGGCTGACACTTGACAGTTTGGAGGCCCAGTTCCACCCAGAGACGCCTGGCGATTTATTTCTGAGAACAACGGACTAGTGAAAACCCTGAGGAGCAGAGTTCTCGGCTGACACACGCAGGCGGACACGAGTCAGCATGCGCTTGAGAGCCACGGGCTGACAACACAAGAAAGGGGGAGGAAGGAGAGATACCCCAGCCTGCCAGCCGGAGCCTCGCAAATGTTGACAAGGGTGAGATCAGACCTCAAATGAGCTGAAAGGGCCTTACTCTCAGAAAACACTTAAGGGTCTACCAAAAATTGAGATGAAATGTACTATTTCTCTGAAACCAAATTTCTAGTTTATCTCAGGGAAGATGGGGTAAGTTCGCTAGTAAAACAGAACAAAAGCAAATTCACTGCCATTGAGTAGATGCCAATGCCACCCTACAGGACCCTGTAGGTTTCTCATCCTGTAACTCTTTATGGGAGTAGAACGCCTCCTCTTTCTTCTGAGGAGAGGCTGGTGGTTTCAAACTGCTGACCTTGGGGTTAGTAGTTGAGTGCGTACCCACTACGTGACCAGGGCTCCTCACCAAGCAGCTGTACGGGAGGGAGGTGTTGGGGCTAACGTGGTCACGGTGGTGGTGGTGGTGGCTGTGGGTGGAAGCTGGTTATGAGACACAGTTTTTGTTCCCTTCCGAGTGTTCCACTTGGTGAGGCAGCCAGGTGCTCTAAGAAAAGGACCCCAGCTCGGCCAGCAATCCCAGTGTGTCAACTAGCCTCCCATTAGACGACATCTCATATCCAGGTTCCCCGCATCCATGCCCCGAAGGCCACAGCGCCCACATTAGCACCAACACCTCTCTCCTGAACAGCTGCCTGCTCTCCTGGCTCCAGACTCCACCCGCGCCCCTTCCTTCCAATGCCAAACCGCTCGCTTCAAAGGCACACCACCACAATGTTAACCTTTCAAGGATGCCAGCTTCTTTGCCTCAGATCCCTTGTTGAAAAATTTGCAGTGACTCCCCGACTTTTATAGGAAACGGCCCAGATTCTCCTGCCTAGCAGTAAGGTCTTTAAGCTGGTTCCTAAGAGACCATCATGAGATATGTAATTGTGTTTATCTGGCATTGATAATATACAATCACACACACCGGTTCGACAGTGCGTCCAGGGGGCACTCAGTGACGCTGATGGAGCTCTTTGACTGGTGCCACCATGGTCACCCTCCTTGTCTGAGCGGCTCCTCTTCGTTACCATCAATGCACTGCCCACTAAGGAGGTTCCTCTCTGATGCTCTGAATTGCTACTGTGATGCAACCATTATTCTTGATGCCAAGTTTCCTTCCGTTTATAACTTGCACTCCAGGAAGACTCCACCAAACCTACTTTCTCCCCCGAGGTTCCTCTGTCCACTCAACTCCACCACTCCAGCCACTCAACCTCTGTGCCCTCCCTGCCTCTATCGGCCAGCGCGCACCATCACCGGAATCCCCGTCTGCCACTTTTCAAGTGCGGACTAGGATCCCAGAGCCGGAGCATGAGCTTCTTAGGACAGGCTCCACAGGCTTACAATCTGGGAGATATTCATCAAAGGCACATTATGACCGCCACCACCCAAAAATCCACCCCACCCCACCCATTGTCATAAACCCGTTAGGGTTTCCGAAGCTGTAAGTCTTTATGGGGGCAGAAAGCCCCACCGTTCTCCCTCACAACTGTTGGACAGTGCAAACTCGTAAACCGCTACTCCACCGGGGCCCTCGGCACTTTCTAGACATGATAGACATCCTGGTTGAATTAACTATTACACACATATTAGAAATTCCTAGAAACGCCTGAGGGCTCAGGAAGTGGAGGAAATGTACATGGCACTCATACCGAGAGGTCTCCATGTATCAGAATCATGTAAAGCCCACAAGGAATTGGAAGAAAATGACTCTGAGCCCCGTCACTTACCACTCTTCATCACAACGTTGGACCAGACATTCGCATTTAAGGCTTGTACAATCCGCTGGACTCCGGTGGACTCCGGGAAGTCATCTGGTCGGGGGGAACAAATACCAACAAGGGTAAGGAAGAGATAACCCTACACAAGCTTACGTTAAAGAGGACAGCTATACAATCATCGAGATATCACGATGATTAAACTCAGTATCAAAAGAGGACGCCCTGGCTTCTCAGCACGTGCTCCTCCCTGCTCCTCCCTGCGCTCTGCACGCGTCCGGCCGGAGGCTGAGCGGCAGTCTCTCTCCCTTCCGAGAAGCATGTGCTCCTCGATTCCGACCGCAGCAGAACAACTCTGGCATCCTCCATGGGCTCAAACTGTGGGCTGTTTTGTCCTCTTTGGCTTGGGGAACTCAAAGAAGTTTGAAGGAGTATAATCTGGGCTGTTGAAGAAACCTCTTAAGACGACCCTGGCTGCCCTTGGAGTCTGAGCAGGTGCACTGCCATACTGGAAGAAGGAGTGCTTTGGCCCAATTGTCCTGACCTTTTTTCACCAAAGCAATTTTCCATTTTCTTTTCATTTCTTCTTCCTAAGGCCCTTGTGACCCAGAAAACCTATTAAGGTTCCCCTCTGGATGCCTTAAAACAAGCTGTCATAACCTTCAGCCCCAACCGTACGGCAGAGTTGACCTCCGCCTTAAGTTCCACTGGACGACAGAGCCCCCGTTCGGCATGGGACTTCTTTGTGACCCTCTTTGTCTGAGGAGACCGAGACCAGCGTGTCCTGAAAGAATTTGTCTGACATTATCCTGCTTGCAGAAACATGTTGACATGTTTTGTACAGAATCCATGAGTGAACGAACTGGAGCGCTACTAGGAATACTTTTTTTACTTGCCCTCGTGTTTACATACATACTCACATACACACACAAAGATTCACTTCTGTGTAGGCGCATATCCCCCACGCCAGTTATTTGAAACTATCATTGTACTTCTGATCCTGTTCATTTAGCTGTTACTTCTCACTGTAATTTACATATTGAGGAGGACAAATAAAATACAAATCTCAGAGCTCCTAAAAAAGTATTTTGGAAACTCAAATAATGACAATGAAGTGGATTTCATAAAGTTAACATTGCCTCACCCATGGAATCCATTCATGATTTGTTGTTAGGTCCACTGAGTTGGTTGCGACCCATAGTGACCCTGTGCACAGCAGAATGAAACCCTGCCCGGTCCTGCCCCGTCCTCACCACTGTTCTGTGCCTGCGCCCCGAGGTGCAACCATGGTGTCAGTCCA